ATTAGATCTAAATGTTACAAGATAATTAACCTCAAGGGAAATGAGTATAATTTTTAAAACTTGAAGAGAGGCCAGTGAAATAGTCAGAAATCTCAGGAGAGGTTTCTAAAAATATCCCTGTTTCGTATGATTTTAACTTCTCCCGTTTCAACGGCTAGTTTTTCAGATGCTTTCTCTCAAAGTTTAAATCAATTGGTATAATGCCATTCACCATCCCTTTCAATTGTATTCCTGTAGGTTGGATGGTAATTCCAATGCTGTGGTAGCTATTTAGGACTAGATATTTAGTGCAATGCCAGCCGACGTAAACGCTAGAGCCGTGGAGCATGATTGATAGTCATGATCTAATTGCAAGGTACATGACTTGCATTTCACATCTGAAGTATGAAATTTTGACGAGGGGTTGCCAATTGGTTTTGTACTTCTCCACCTCAATTGTTAGCTTTTGAGACGAATTCTATCGAAGTTTATATCAATAGGATGGGCACAAATTTTCATAAAGCAAAGGTAAGGTTGCAAAATATAGGAAACTGCAATTGAACAGAAAAAGGTTTGGGCTTAAACTTGCAGGGTGCAAGGTATAATGAGAGTCAGGTAGGGAAGGGCAAGAATCTTTCCTCATATAAATCCTTAAAAGTATTTAATCATTAGAAAACACATTTTTGTTACTGGAATAATTGATCTCTCATTTCAAAATAGCAATATGAATCATTATTTTTTACATACTGTTTGATCAACCAAATTACTTTGAATGTTTTAAAACTACTAAAACTATTATAATGGATTAATGTTGGAGGTGATTTCTAACAAACTTAATAAGTATAATGGTGCTGTGATGTTTTCCCTTTTTGTTTAATTAGTTTAAGCTTGGATTTGCCAATAATTGTCCTGTAGCTCTTTCTTTTGTATTTGATAATATAAAGCTTGTGACTTAGTTGTTATGCTTCTATATGAGTCAGATTTCGAGTTGCTGCAGTTTGTTTTGAAGACCTTAAGGTCCTATTTAAGTTCTTATTTTGATGAATAATAATAATGGTGTAAAATACTGGTAGTTTTAATTAAGTGATTTATTAGATGGAATAAACTCAAGTTTGAAACTCATAAAGAGTGCATGAACATAATTTGCGAAGAAGTAAGCAGTTAATAAAGTTGAAATGAAGTTTGGGATGGATATTTGAACATGCCAAAAATCATAGCAAAATAACTCACCAAAAGGTAGCATCAAGGGACTAAGAAATGATATTTGTATCAAACAAGATGAACAAAGTCTCTATTCAAATATTCCATCAAACAAGGAAACTCAAACGAAGTGAAGAAAGTCTTAAAGTGGCCAACAAAATCAACCAGGGGCGGATTTAAAGGGGGCCCCATTGTCCCCCTTAAATTAACTATAATACATCTACAATTTTGACATAATTTTAAAGGTGCCCCCAGAATTTTTTTTTAGAAAAAATATGAAAGAATGGGTCACAAAATTTATATCATTCACTTTCCTCCTCTAGCTCTAGTCCCCATTTTCCCTCCAACAGAGCCCAGTATCAATTATATAGGTCATTCCTTTTGGTCCCCACTCCCCAAGTTCCCTTTACTCCTGTGGTCCCTCATTTCCCTTCACAACTGGCTCCTCTTCTTCCACACCCAAGCCAACTACTCTTTCTTTTTATCACTTCATCCAATTATCATTTACTTCCTTTGTTCCCACTCCCCAATTTCCCTTTCCTCCTCTGGCTCTCGGTTGTCCCCACTCCCAACATACATACGAGAGCCACTTTTTCTTCCACAACCAAAGCTTGTTACTCTTTCTGTTGATCACTTCATCCGATTTAGAGATTGCACCAGAATCAATTGATCTTCTAGGACCTGAGTCCGCCACATTTTGCAACTCTTTTCACCAACTTTAGGAGACCATCAAAATCAGGTTCTAAACAATTACTTCTTATTATTATTATTTTAAATTTGTTTGCAAATATATTTCTAGAGCATGAGATTATTACTGTTTTAAAGAAATTTGAAAATTGATTAGTTAATGTAATAACTAATAAATGGGTTATTTGATAAATATTTTAACTTGTGAAATGGTGATTTTATGCATGAGATTTTTTTTTTTTTGCTTAAAAAAATTAGAAAAAGAGTAGATAAAAAATTTTAGTGTTATTTTTGCCCCTATTAAAATTTTTTTCTGGCTCCGCCCCTGAAATCAACTCAAGTGACAGTTGCAGAAAGCCAAGCAAAATGAACTACAAAACCAACCTTTCACTTTCAGCCGTCCTAAAGATGTCTCGCCCATGGAAAAGAGTTTAGGACGTTGTCTCGAGCGATGCAAACCTCTCCGGGCATCTGAATTTGGCAAGCCACACAAGCCAAAAATCTCTGATCAAATTCACGCATGAGTGTCTTCTACAATAGTATCTAAAGCAATTAAAGTGAGACTTTTAGACATCAATCATATTGCAAGCCTATTAAAAAGGGATAATTTCAGATACTTCCCTTGATGTTTCTGATAATTGTGTTTAAATACTCTCTAAAATTAAAAATTACACTCACTTCCCTTTGATGGACACATTTGATAAATATTGTAGCCCTTGTCATTAAAAGAAAGTTAAAAGGGTGGGAAAAGGTACTGACACACAAAATTTTGTCAACTTTACCCTCTTTATGTTCGAATGAAACATTTGCCACTTTGTTTATAAAAATTAATTAAAAAAGAGAAAAAAGATATGAAAGTAGTAGGGATCATCTCAATACAACAAAGTGTACATCTGCAATTCTGCGCTTTTGATAGTCAGAAGTAAGAAGAGTTGGATAGGTTGCAATGGCTTTATCTTGGCAGCATATAAGTTAGTTAAAGTGTAAAAAAAATGCATACTATTTTCAACTCTTGACATTCTTCCTCTCCATGGTAGTTGAGGAATAATAAAATCAATTTTGCTTCTTGGAATGACAAAATCAATTTTACTTTTGCATATGCTCGCACCAAGAAGCAAATAAAAAAAATATTATTGACGCAGGCAATTTTTTCCTCACATTTTTGCAATAACATTAGCCACAACATTTTGAGGGCAAGTTGGTCATCAGGAGGCTTTTGGTGCTGGCATGTTGTCATATCCGTCACAGAGGGGAGGTAAGTGTAATTTTTAATTTCAGATGATGTTTAAGTGCCATTGTCAGAAACATTGAGGGAGGTATCTGAAATTATCCCCACTTACAAAACAGTGTTGAACTTTGAAATATGATTTTACTTTTGTTTGATGTTCGTTCAAGTGAAACTACCATTTCGCAACAAGTTTCTTTTCTTTTTCAACTACAATAAAACCCTTCTGAGATCAAATTTTGTTAATTCTCTGATCCTCGTTGAAAAAGTTACTTTCTCTCTGTAAAGACTATAGAGAATCAATATGACAACCAAGTATAATTCATGGACATGTGAACCTTGATATTATTCCAATAAATGACCTTTTTCCTTGATCGTCTTGTCCTCGTAGATTCTCTATTAACCCAACTAAAAATTTCTAAAGTCAACAGCAGTTGCCTGTAAGCATTGGCAAGGTACAGAGAATCATGGATGTACTCAAAAGAGCATCCTGAAAGTCGTAGATGGCTGATACTAGGAAACGATGATACGTTCTTGCTGCCAACTTATTAATTATTATATAACGACAAAAATATGCATATGTAGTAAAAAATTAAAAATTTTTGTTTTCTCTAAGTTGATCACCCATAATTAATTCCATTCGACAAAGAAAGAGTTCACAAAGATTACGTCTAAATTGATGGAAATTTCCTGAGAAACTCAAGTTGGTGAAGATTATATCCTTTTTGAAAAAGCACCAAGTAACTTGCCTTTAATGGTAATCACACAAACTTTCCTCGCGGTATTCTTGAAAAATAGATATCCTTCTTATCTACAAATATAATTCTTATGCCCCCTTCTCCCCCAAAAATCCTTAGGCATAGTAGGTAAATGTAATCTCAAATTGATTGGAAAGTTGAACAAAGGACAATTAAAGCTAATGGTTGGAAGCACGGAGAGTAGACATTGCTTTCATGTGCGATTTCTATATTTGTGCAGGGTAAGCATCAAGCCATTGACAATTATGAACTGATTGAGGTAAAGGAAACTGTTTGGACACTATTTTCAATATTTTTGAAAGAACAGAACATGTGCTCTCAACCAACGATTTTCTTTCCAATTTATTTTGCAAACACCATCAGTTACATCAGGATGTATACAAGAAACCTTAAATCACCAAATAATTACGAGTTCGATTATGTCCTAATTTGAGAATCTACATGACCACCAAAATTCAATTCTAACTGGCATCATAATTGAATTTTCAACAATATTTCACACTAGTTTGTCCACAAAATCGTGCATTGTTAAAACTAATGAAGAACCATTCGACAGGGTGGTCGAATTTTCTTCCCCTTGATAGTGCTGATTGAGTTGACAACTCATGAAAATACAAACTACACACACACACACACACACTAGGCACCAGTTAATTTTTAGCCTTTTGCTTCAATGACGAAACTATGAGAACCCAATATGTAGTTGTCTGATAGGAAGTTTAACACAACGAGGACACCAAAAGGGGAAAGCTGCGAAACAGTAATTTCATTTCAGGCATCGAAGCTAAAACAAATAGTCCATGTGTGAATTTTTTGTTCTGCAGTACAAATATTAGTAGAAAAACAAAGTTGGATAAAGGAAAAGGCACGGAATGAATGAAAGGCCCGGACAGAAGAGTGTATTTCCAACCCTTCTTATAAACTGCTTGCATTGCGGAGTCATCTCCAGCATGGCGACATAAGCCAAATAAAGACATCGTATCTACACGATCCACAAGGAAGTTTGAAAACATAATCCTGTATAAGGAAGTTAATAATGCAAAAACCCCCAATCCAAAAACATCTTTCCTTTTCATATGTTTCAAAAAACTGCAATCAAACAGGTTTCCATTGTCTTTAAAAAACTAAAACCATTTCATAGCAACATCCCGACTCCTCATCAACTTTTCCGAAGTCAAGAACTGCCACTGAGGGAACCCCAAAATGAATTTGTCAGCCGCAAGCCAAGCAGGCCCATGGCCGCTTAAAATTGAGTTTCCCAGCTTCCAAGATTCACGGGACAGAACCAAAAGAAGAAAAGGTGACTGAACCACTTCCACCACATAAATGCAGGCTTCCAGATTCTACTCTTTTCCTGAAAAACACCCTTTCGAACAAGAAGCTTTCAAGACAACCATGTAAATCAAACTCACCAGTATCATAGACCGTTCTTGTATAATCTGAGCCTGCTGCCTTTGTACCAAGGCCTCTTTCAAAATGCTTTACATAATTCGTGATGTTGTTTGAGGTCCCGTGTTTTCTTTTGGTTTTTGAGCAAACGAAAACCGATAAGGTTCACTGCTTCCTCTGCTTTTGCTCCTTTTATCTACTTGGTCCACGGTGAGCGCATTGCTACTACTATGTGCAGTTAAATTAGAATCCTCACGGCTTTGCATCAGCTGACCATGCCCCCCAGTGTCTGTTACAGAGAATAAGAATCAATCAAATATCTACTCGTATATAAGGTAACGATTTCAAGCTACCGCTGAAACCGGAAATTTGGATTACAGCAAGTGAAACAAGTGTATCTTCTAGCAAGCGTTACATGAGGAAACCTCTTCAAACAACATAACTGGCAACGAGTCACAACCAGAAAAAAAATGATCTTGGGAAAAAAAAAAACAACAACAGGACATAGTCTGGATGAACAAATACCTGTTTTTCCTTCGAGAAACTATCATGTGCATGAAGAGGTAGATTGACGCTCAAACTTCCTTGAAGTACAGGCACAATGTCATGAACTGCAGTCGAGGATCCAGCAGAGATATGAGATGGATCTTCAGATGCAGAAAAATCTGAACTATCAAAGGTTGATATTGACACGCATTCATCGAAATATGCCATAGCTTCTTCTGCAAGACATTTTGATATCTTTTTCCTTTCAGTGCTTCTCTGTAATCAAAACATGCCAAGACCATCTCAAAAAATCAGAAACAAAGATGAATATAAACATATACAAAGAAGACCAAATTACAAGGAAATTGTTCCTTTTTTTGCCAGCAATTCTTTCCTGCCCTTTGTGATTAAGGTTATAGCTTCAAGAGTACCACAACTCTTAGCTTTTATGCCTGTAAATAACTAAATACTCCTAGCTAAAAAGGAATAAAATAAAGAAATAACGCAGATCTTCTACAAGCTTGGACATTATTGCAAAACAACTGACACATGCACCATCTCTTATTGGCAATCACCAAGACTTTCCAATTGGGATCCGTCGAGAATAAGGCCATTTTGTACGAGGCATCTGAGAAAAACTACATCTCAAGTCCTAGAAATAAGTACAATGAGCTGCATGTTAGCTAAAGAAGACTACGACTAGCACTTGTATAGAAGATAAAGTTGCTTGACCTTTAAGAGGCTACACAATTGTTCAGTTCAGAAGGATGCTCTAACATATTCTTAAGGTTGAAACCAACCAGTCACCTTGAAAAGAATCAGCATTAACAGCAAAGCAAAACAACAAAAAAATTACACGTTGGACAAGAGGGATAGAACTGCAAAATTCAACCTGCATGCATCTACAAGACCTCATGCAGTTCACATGCTATTAAACCAACAGACTGCAACACATTTATTTTCCACTACTCCAAAGTCGATTTAATCTACAGTTCCTTAATACTTTTTGACAACTCTACGGTCAACCCTTATCATCAGTAAGTGCAAAGAACCACATAAAGGGACATCTATGTCTCCACGAAACAAAAATTTTTGAAGGAAAAAAGGAGGAATCTCTTATGTTTCCTTCCTCTCTTCTCTCTCCCTTTCTTTCATCGGGCATCTGTCCAGACAGCTCCAGGCTACCCACCTGACATGGTCTTCACCCCCAATCCCACAAAAGACACCAGCACTGCCTCCCAGAAAGCACACCAAAACCAGCAAGGTCCCCTGGCTAATGCCAGATGCTACAGGAATCTTGCCATTTCCTAGTTTAAATTATTATTCAATGCCAATGGTACATGTAAGGTACTAAGCTTTGAAGATGAATATTGGTACCAACATAAAAATTATTAATTAGATTACAGATTCTCTTGCCAATTTTTATTTTGTACCAGTCTGCAGATAAAATAGACGGATACAAAAGAAGAAAACTGGACTAGGAAGTGGTGAGCTGGGGTGTTAGCATTGCAGTTGACTTTGAGTGTGTAGCTGACACTTATTTACCAGTATCTGAATGCAAACCAAAGGCAAAACAATTATTACCTCAGTCCAAGACAAAGGAAAATAGATTAGTCTCAGAACATGGATATCCCAAAGTTCTTTCCAAAGGTAAAAGGCAACCAAAGACAAGGCATTGAGAAAGGGCACCTAAAAGAGGGGCTTTGGGTGAGTTGGCATGGCAGGTCCAAGGTGGCAAAAGACGGTGGTGGTGCAGAGACTAGATTTTACAGAAAGGTAGATGTGCGAAAAAAGAAGGGAAAGGACAAAGAAAAGGGAAAAGAAAAAAAAATAACAAAATGACTATGCTGGACACAGTATGACCAAAAAAAAAAGAATTTTCAGAGTTCCACAGACCGAAGGAAAGAGTTTTCTTCATATCAAGTGTTTATAACTAGGCACTACGACTACAACTTTAACAGTAGAAAGAAGTTGGATTCTCTGAATCACTGTTAATGGCTGAAACTGGTATAATAAACTGTTAGTCAGGAGAGGCGTGATTTCCTGTCTCACACCACATAAAAATTCCATACGTTCAGAAAATGACAGGCAGAAAGTGAAAACATACTTTTCTTCCAGCACGGGATTTCTGAGGATTAGATGTTCTTGGATCAGGAAGTGTCTCCTTAAGTATTACTAAACTCCTGCCCACGGTGCTCTTCTACAGCCAGATCTGCTCTAAGTTTTCTTGCTCTTTCTTCAGACTGCACCATCAAATATATATGAGTTGGACAAAGTTATTCAGCTCATGATAATTTTCTCAAAAATGTGGAAGAAAGAGGGACTAAAATATATACTATCCAGAAAAAAAAAAAAGAGAACCATACCCCGTAATTACTAGACCTCATGATAGTTATACAAAAATCCACTACAAAGCTCAGAAAAGTCCAGAAAGGCCCTCTAAGTAAAGCGTCCATAGGTGCTACAAAATAAGGTTCCAATATTGATAAACTTGGATTCTTATCACCATATTACAAAAATCAAGATACAGTGACGAACAGTACAGCATTAAGATGCGAAATTCCAGATATAAGCTAAAAGCATTACAAGATAATTCTTCATTTAGATAAGCTTCAAGCACTAGAAAAATTAACAGTGTCCTACTTCACCATGGCATTAACAAAGGTTAAAAAAAAAAAAAATCACCTCTTCAAGTTTTTGGGCATATTCTCTTCTGATGTCCAAGACCGATTCAACAGAACCAGAGTTGACACTGAGTGGAGGTATATCAGCAATGTCTGCAGTCGCAATACCATTAACATTACCCGTCGAATAGCCTGGAGTGAAAGGCATATAAGCAACTCTAGATCAATAAAGGTCAAAACAAGAGCAAAGCAAATAACATATATTGGACAAAATGACGAAAGAACATTCACCAAAAGGTGGATTTGTCCAAGCATTTACAAATTGAAAGTCTATTCTTCACTCAGGGGATAGTTTAAGCCCGTGCAATGTAATCAGAAATTCATATGGTAAAGTCCTAAATATCTCAAACTGAGTAGTATTTCATCCATGGAACAAAATTCACTATGAGCATGAATAAGCCATTTGGATTCTGTAGTCTGGTCCTACCTATTGCACTCACACTTCTTGCCTATTAGCTTCCAGAAGTCAACAAATCATTTAGCTTTATAATCAGATGTAAACCAAGGTTTTGGTCATGAAAATACAGCTCTAGAAAGGACTAATGGTGTTTAGGTTCACTTAAAAGCATTAATCGAAGACACAAGTAAAATGGTCTGCTAAACTAGATTCCATACACTATCTGGACCAAATAAAAAGAGTAGAAAATTTTAGAGCACTGTGAGGTCACAGGAAAATATGCATAAACTAAATCAGATAGGAGAAGGTACCTCACAACTAGGCAAGAAGCATTTTGAAGTATTATTGAATCCTGAGTAACAACTTGCAACTCAAGGAATGGAAGCTAATTGTCTAAACAGTATAACCGAATATAACCCAATGTATTATATAGACCAAGCTGCAATCCTCACATAAGGTTGAGATTAGCCAAAAATTGGAAGCAGTAAGGACCTAGAAAGATGGAAATTGTGAGGCAGAATAGTTCTCGCACATTGAGATTAAAAATAATTTGGAATGACCAGTATGTGAAAGCTATACAGCTTAAACATATATCTTCACAAATAAGAATAGAGCCAAATTCAAATGCACCTTTGTGGGCAGCTCATTTAAGGCATGAGAATTGCAAGAGAAAGAAAAGGGAGATAGGAGGGAGAAAGAGGAAAGAAAAGTTGTTGATATTGTCAAATACATGAGGATCACTTCTGTAATATAAAAGGGATAATTTCAGTCATTATGATAATGGGGGGACAAAGAGCTACAAACATTACAAATCGTGAGCCCTTAAATTTACAATCAACATGAAGAGAAGAATAAAGAAGCTGACAATTTACTAACTGTGAGAATAAATTGTAATTCACTAACACACACCATGAGAAAAAGAAAATGGGAAAACACACAATGCTATCGCTCCATGGTTTGGAAAGATAAAATTATCTCCATCCCTAACATTCAAAATCAACCAAAAATGAAGTCAAAACCAAGTTCTATGCTGAGTCACAGAAAGACCTCAATTTGTTTGAAGGCTGTATTCTATTTATTTATTTATTTATTCACAGATACAAGAGAAAAGCATAAAATTAAAACATGGACCTCTTATTCAATTTAACGTGTCTAACTGGAAAGAAATGAACTTGTTACATTACAAAGATGAATAAATCAAAGGAACAAGGAGAAGTAGGTGAAGTGCCTAAAAACAACTCCTACGATTCCAAGGGAACAGCCCTCACATAATTTATGTCACAGAACCGGAAAAACATTAAAACAACCAAATTTTTTTTTTTAAATTAAAAGAAAAAATAAAAAACCTGATCAAGCAGTATCTGTATTCATGACATAAGCAGATGAGATGTTAAAAATAAATCATAATCCTACTAAATAAAAACTGAACCGAGAATTAGATCATATGGATCATCGTTAAACCTCTTACACACGTTATTACACTACATCAAAAGTAATTACACACAGTTCTCACTCAAATTCAGTTTGACTACTACTGACACTTCTACGTAGGAATAAAAAATGTAAACATTTGACAAATGCCATAGAATGGAAAGACAAGAACATGGCTGTTCAGAAAATTCCTGAAAATAACAGATTTCAGGAGTTCTATCTGTTTCTTCACTTAGTTAGTATAGCTCAGTACAACCACCCCCCCCCCCCCCTCCCTTTTTCTTCTTTTCCTCTCTGCCCAACAAAAGTTACCTGTGGCACTGATCACCTACAAACAAGGGATTGCTGGCAGCAAGATGCATACCTACACTTCAAAAATAGTGTGTTCACTGTCCAAATCTTGCCGGCTGAGCCAACCCTTAATGGCAATGTAGATTTTATTCTGACTTTTTCACTACCAGATTTTTGCTGTATTAGAGTTTTAGCTTCAAAGACAGGTAAATAATTTCAGATTATGCTGAAATATGATATTGCTGAGAAGTGAGGTCTTTGTATCAGGATTTTATAATTTCTGAATTAGGTTTCTGATGGTGTCAAGTATTTAAGTGTACAATTTATTGGCTAGTTCTCAAGAGATCTTGGACTCCAAGACACTTGTCAACTTGCTTACTCACACCCTCGGCCTCTTTCTCCCTCCCTCCCTCCCTCCCCCCTCCTTCTCTGTGTGTGTGTTTTTGTTTGTGTTTGTATGCAGATTTCAAATCATAAAAATTTGTAGATCCTGATTTCAAATAAGACACCAAAATTGCAAGGATAGCATCGGATTCTGTTGTGTATCGGAACTTCATCTACACTACAGTGATTCCAAATCCATGTGCTTGCTATCATCCCAGTTTGTCCCCACTTTGCTTATATATTATTGGGATGAAGTGAAATTATTTTAGTTTAACAGATTGTGTTGTGCTTTCTCTGAGCATTGAAAGCTTCCTTGGTCAATTAATGCTCAGGATATCATGGTGGAATTCCTAAAACTTCTTTTGCCTCCCTCCTAACCCCTATTGTTTCCCTCTCCAGCTCAACCCTCAAAACTTTCTCCTCCTTATTTTCCTCTTTCTTTATCTCTTTCTCCTCTTAAAATTCTAATTCTGCTACATCCTACAATGATTGCTAAAAGTTTTCTAGACATACGACCCAGAGGCAGATCTTACTCCACAGGCATATTAGTGCTGCATCACAAAGCAACAACTAAAGGTGTTAATAAATCGGCTGCACATAGAGAAAGCTCATTCTAGCTCGTTTATGTTGAAAAACGGCTCATTAAATTTGGTACGCGAGTCAATTTGGCACCCAGTGCCAAGCTCTTTAGTTAAATGATCCAGACTCAAAAAGCCTGTCAACCATCAAACATGCTTGTCACAAAGCATGTAATGTATAAAAGCACTACATAGCTATGGATTGAACATATATTCTCTCAGATTCTAACATCCTCTTCCTCCCAAGACCTTTTCTTGTACTCTACTTCCCAACAACCCCAAAAAGCAATGCCAAAAAAATATTTCCTTTCCATATACCATCAGCCATTACAAAAAGTTAAAAGCAGACTAAGAAAGAAGCAGACAAAGACACAACCCCCACCCCATCACCGTGGCCGTGGATTCATAAGTCTGGGGCTGTGCCTTCTTCATTGCATCAGTTGCTGAAGTTTGTGGTAAATGACAAGCTGATAACTATATTTGCCGAAGAGGATTGCCTTGTAATCACCGATTCTGGGTTAAAAGAGGATGGAAGCCGCAATGCCACCCTGACTCCTCATAGCACGGCTGATATCGTCTCTGTAAGTTGGATCACAAACGAGGAGCGAGCTTTACCAAAGGCCAGTGTCATGATGGCCAAAGAAATGATCCGTGGAGGCTATGAATTTGACAAAGGGCTGGGACGAGATTTGCAAGGAATTCTGAAGCCAGTGGGGATTATTGAGAAAAAGGATTCATTTGGTTTGGGTTTCCGGCCGACTGCTAAGGACATCAGAGAGATGAAGGAGCGCAAGAAAGCGGAGAAAGAAGGAAGGCAAAGGGTTCTTGACATTCCACCCCTGCATTATACTTTCCCACGACCGGCTGAGGTAATCATGTCAGAAATCAACCCAGTTGACGAAATTGAAGCAAGTTTGGCCCAATTGTTCGTTGGGGCAACATTTGAAGATATTGTTCCAGGCGAAGCTGAATTTCCTGACATTCCCGAAGGATCAATTCCCAATTGGACAGCCGAGTCCCTGCCCGTTCGGAAGGAGTTTCGGTAAAATGAAAGGGGTTTATCATTCATGTGAATTCATGAAAATACCTTTGCATCTGTAAATAGCCAATGAAAACAATTTCCTTTTTGACTAACGTCTGCGCATGTAAATATTGTTAAGTTTTCATTTCCATTTGCTTTCAATCAAAGGTTTTATGAAAATGCACAAGTTGTTCTTGTCATTGTTGTGTTGTTTATTCGCTTGTTTATATTCATATTGCTTGTCCATTTGTTGGTTGTGAGTTTGTTTGCTTATTATCCCACATTCGTTAATTCTTTCAGATGGCCAAAAATAAAATTATTTGATCCTTTGGATATCACAATTCTGGAATTCGATAATGGCAATCTCTATATCACTCACGATTTGGAA